GAGTCCTAACTAATCAGTCTTTGGGAAGAAGGCAAGAAGACGCAATTTTTCTGAGAGGCGCTCTTGCTGAGGTGATCCCAAGGCGTGCTGAAAAGCTTCGCATGGTTTCCGCACATGTGAAGTAGACAGGCAGCGTGTAAACCCTGTCCAACCGTCACATTTAGGTTATCATGAGATCCGCGTCAAATGTTACCAAGGTCGATTTGCCGCGTATGCTTTTTGAAAGGAGCTTCACTAGGCAGTCAATTTTCGGTGAGCGGTTAAGCCTTTCTTCAGAAGTCATAAGATCGATGGTGATTATTGGGGTGGGGGGGCGGGGCGAAGAACCTTCTGTCCATAAACGAGACCTTCTACCGGTTATAAAGAAGAAATTGGTCAGAAGGAAGTTACCTTTGCCTCGCTCAGTACACGGAGCTTCTCAGGTGCGATGCCGAAGTCGAGTACCAGTTCTTGATACTGTATAACGCGCGCGCCCCCGCTGGTGCGCTGCAGCAGCTTGTACATGTCGTCTTTCGTCAGCGTCGCCGGATCGAAGTTGACTCCCCAGCGCAGCAGCAGCTCCTTGGTAACACCTGTGCGCACAAGGTAAGTCTTATCAGCCACAGTACATTGTGTCCCAGTCACGTTTCACTTTTGACAAGAGCGCAGCATTGTAGTGGTTTTCAACCAGCACCGTTGACAGAAGAACAAGGCTTGAGAGCTTGAGCTACGTACCGTCGGCCGGACGAGTTCCATGCTCTTCCGCGAAGGCCTGCGCCTGCTGCATCTTCGCGTCGACGAACGTGTGGGCAGCTCCTGTCCCTGAGAACCCGGCGCTGAATTCCGCTGGCATGACGCCGTTCAGACTCATCATGTGCTTCTGACGCGAGCTCAGATGCACGCGGTCCTCGCGGATAGAACCTTCTATGTTGTCAAAGAGAGGCTCGTAGTTGCCTTGGGGGGGCTTCGGGGCCTCGCTGAGCTGTTTGACGATCGCTGTCGCCTGCGCCAAATCAAAGTAACACTGTATGCTCTTGAATATGTTGATGAGGGCGTGCGAGAATGATGACAGCGTTTGCTTGGATCATCCTTTATGACAGGCGGCCAATCTCTTATACGAATTGTACTTGCTGATCAAACAATACTACAGGTCGAGCCAGGCTTCAACCGCACGTCTCACGTACCTTGTTCTCGCTAAGCGGGCGCAGCTTCGCGGGGGAGATGCCGAACTCCCTATACAGTTTCGACAGGTCCTTGATCATAGCTCCTCCGCTGTGACGCTTGAGTAGCGTGTACGAGTCCTTCTTGCTCAGCAAGTCCAAGTCCATATGTACATCCCAGTCGTCGACGATTTCTTTGAGCACGCCTGTAAGGTGTCGAAAATGTTTGTGATCACGTCAGTACCCGCACAGAACAGCTGAATACGCAGATAGAAGTCACGTGTATACCTCTATCCGTGTCCTCTTTGTTCAATTCTAGCGCCGCCCAATCAAGCTGTAATGAGCATGTGGCACAGAGTACAAGATTCAATAAGGGTCTCAACGCGGCGATAAGTTCTGAGCAGTTGTAAGAGAGTTTTCGGAGCGTGTGAAGAAGACAAGGTGGGGCACAGAGCTAATTCTCAGAACGCATACAGAGTGTTGCGCAAGATTCTCTGCAGCGGCCAAAACAATCGAGATCGGCAGGCAGAAGGAAGAGTTTGGATAAGCAGACTATTAACTTACCGTCCATAGGCTGAGATCCGGTACGCTCCTGGACAGATTTGCCATCATTGATCTTGGACGTGACGAACTGGTTCATTTCCGCGTGATTGTTGAAGCCGTCACTGTACTCGGATGGGCGGACGCCATTCAGGTGTAATATGGATTTCTGCTTCTCGCTCGGGTGAGCGCGCTGATCGGGAATGGCGGCGTTCAGTTCGTCGAAGAAGGCGGAGCAATCGTAAGGATCAGCCATCGTCGCTGCATACAACAGAAAGTTCCACTGAAAAAAGTTACCCAATGTTGAGCAGATCAGGCACGGGTTGAAAATCCGACGGGACAAGAGGAGTTAGAATCTTGAGTTTAGAACGTTCGGTAACACCGCTGAGCATAACGTACAGTAGTCCAGGCGCGAACGCTTCCTTCACATGTACGAAAACTGTGCACCTAATAGTAGCACCTTGGCTCTTGTGACCTGTCATTGAGTAGCCGAGTAGCAGCGGAAAAGCTTTTTTATAGTAACGACGCCCGCTGTGATGGCGTGCTTGGAACCTGGTTCTTCTAACAGCGATGGTTGCTCCACCCTCGTCAATTTTGACGACAACGGTTTTGACAGCGCCACTTGCAGGCAACAGCGCGACAACGGTGCCCAGTGAACCGTTGGCGGCAAACTTCTCAGTGTCGATGTTAGCAGTCAACATGACGCGCGCGCCAACTGCCACCTTTTCCATCTCGAAAAACTTGGGCTCTGCTAGCCATGCAGCTAGCTCGTCCACAAAAGTTGCGTTAGTGTCTCTGTCAATTCTCAGCACCTCGGCAGACGTGAATTTTTTTTCGAAGAATCTTTTCGTTGAACCGTTGCGCGTCTGCGCGATGTGAACAAAGCACGAGCACGTCGCCCGTGATCGAAGCTTCTGCCGCCGCTTCACTTATAAAAAATCCTCCCAGCACTTCATTGATGCGTTCCTGCGTAGGCACGTTGAATCTGATTTCATTGAGAAAGTCAAGAAACGGGAGATCAGTGTGACGTTTAGATCCAAGCAGGCCGTGAATGGAAAATAACGGCCAGTTGAGTGACCGAGACACGTGGCACTGCAAGCACACCGGGTCGTCAGCATCCAGTCGGTGATAACACACAGCTGGTAATTGTGCGTGATCGCCGACGAGGAGGATCAGTTTGCCGCGGAGCGCGGCTTCAAGAGATCCACATACTTGTCGGAGGCGATAAAATATAAGATCCAGCATATAGGCGGT